AGAACTTATTAATCATAACTTCCATTCTATTGCAAACATTAACCGGAGGGTTCAAAGTATGAAAAATAAAAATAGGAATGGAATTCAACAAACTTTTAATCAAAGTTAAGCTACCTCCAAAAGAAAGAAATTTAGACGACCAATGCAAAATCTTTCTTTGAAAAATGGTGAAGATATTATCAAAGCATTGTCTTCCTCCTACCTTTAGTAAGAGGCATACCAAGATATTTGATAGGCAAGGAAGAAGAGCTAAAACCACATAACCGACTAATCTTGTTAGCCCTAGTAGTATTAACATAATTAGCAGTAATAAAATTACTCTTATCTTTGTTAATAGAAAGGCCACTAGCATCATGAAAGACATCCAAAAAATTAACCAACAATTTAACATTTTTGATAGAAACATTAGAGAAAATTATGAAATAATCAGCAAAACTAAGATGAGAGATCGGAAAACCTCCACCAGTATGATAATTAAGGTTAGGAAACCTACTGTACAGATAATCTAAACCCCTAGACAAATACTCCATAGCAATGATAAAGAGGGAAGGAGATAAAGGATCCCCCTGATAATCATATACATTTAATGTTAATATGATGCACCAGTTCTTGAGCAAGTAAAATGTTATAAAAAATACTCCTCCCTTTAACAAAACCCGTTTGATTAGGGGAAATAATTCTAGGCAAAATAGTAGAAAGTCTAGAAGCAATAATTTTTGCCATAAGTTTGTTAAAAAATGTACATAGACTAATAGGTCTAAAGTCATTCCAAAAGGTAGTATTATCTTTCTTGGGGATAAGAACAATATTAGTGCAAGAAAAATCTTTAGGATAAGGCTTACCCTTGAAAAAGTCATGAACAACATCCACCACATCATCTTTAATGATATCCCAAGTTTTCACAAAAAAATTAGTAGTATACCCATCCGGTCTAGCCACCGACTCAACATTCATCCCTTTGATAGCATTCCAAATCTCATCTTCATTGGGTAATTGGGTAAGAAAACTATTATCATTATCATCCAAAATGTTAGGAATCAAGTGTTAACAATAGAAGAAACAGGCTTGATGGCATTGAAAATATTATAGAAATAGTCCACTCTCGAATTAACAATGGTATCAACATTGTCATAAACAACACCATGCTCATCAACAAGCTTGTGAATATAGCTTTTAATACGATTTTTGTTAACTAAAGCATGGAAAAAGAAAGTATTTCTGTCACCTTCCAACAAAATAGAGTTAGTAGCCTTATGTTTCCAAAATATTTCTTCCTGGTTTTTCAAATTGAAAAGAAGGAGTTTACTGTTATCAAGATTAGCCAGATTCTCAGAGGAAGGATTCTCAAGAAAAAGGTTATCCGCAGTTAAAACTTTCTCCTCGGCCTCCTTAATATTTTCAAAAATATTTTTAAAAACATGTTTATTCCACCATCGCAACAATTGTTTCAATCTACTTAATTTAGCCCATAATCTATTCATACCTTGAATATTATTATCAGGAAAAACCAACGCATTCCAGTTATCAGACACAACATTAAAAAACCCATCACGCTTGATCCACATATTTTGAAATCTAAAAGCCACAGGGCCCGTCAAATCACTATTAGAAATAGAAAGAAGCAACGGAGAGTGGTCAGAAAGAGTTCTGCTCAAATGATGAACACTAGTCATATTAAATTTACCAATCCAATCATTATTGAAAAGTAACCTGTCAAGTCTTTGCCACAGGTTATTTCTGTTCCAAGTGAAGGAGTTGCCAGAAAAACCAATATCTGTTAGATTGCAAGAAGAAATCATCTGATTAAAATCATCCATAGCATTCATATTAGGAGGGTTACCTCCTCTTCTTTCACTAACATTAGAGATGATATTAAAATCACCCCAACACACCAAGGTCCATCAATGGTATGAGTAAAATTAGTTAAGCACTCCCAAAGAGGGATACGACCATCAATGCTTATAACTATTTATTTGATCATACAAAAAAGGAGTACTTCAAAATGCAAGATGATCTCAAAGCTAGCTCTACTTATATTAAAATGATGAATTATATTGCTCAACAAATGAATTGAAATTGTATTAAGAAGCTTAATATTAGTAAGTGTTTTAGTAATTTAACTGTTAAAATCAATGATGATGAGGATTTGAATCTTAATCATAGTCTTAAACTAAAGAATAAAATCACTAATGTTGAGTTTGATAATTTGGATGATACTCTTGAACTATATAAAAATCAATCTTCTTCTAATAATGCATTTCCTTGTGATAATTTTCAAAAAACAACTCTAGTGTACCCGACCTCAACTTTAGCTTTCAAAACTAGGATGGTATTGCTAATATGCATAATACTAGTGATATTCCTTCTCTAAAATGTAACAGAAGTTCAAACCCAAAAATTGTTTTAGATTTATCTAACCTTGATGCTCAAACTCTAGAACTGTTTCCCCATAAAGAACACAATATAATTCTTTGCATTGTGGTGCCCCTTTAGATTATAGTTTTACATTTATTTAAAAATGTAGGGGCAAATGAAAATTTTGAAAAATTTTGTATGTGTTCTGGAAATACCTTATTACTTATTAAGTCTTATTGTGGTTCAAGATAGTTAGATATCACATTTTATTAGGTCATAAAAAATCTATTCTCAACGATGCTATCATTCATAAAATTCATAAAAAAACTACATGTTGGGAACATGTGTTTCCTTCCCCATGTGATTAAATAACTCTTATCAACCATGTTCCTAACTCTATTCTTTCATACCTATGTAAGTGCTAAATAATATGAATAAATTTATAATAAGATGACAAAAAATTTTAAATAAATACTTCTTAGTGATGCTAAAGAGAAGGCTTGCAAAATTCACTAGGTTACTTAGAATAATATTTGCCTCCTTATTAATTATTGGATTTTTCATGTTAAATTTATTAGGACATAATAAAATGTGATTATCTAACTTTGATGGAAATTTGCAAGAAAAGCCTCTATATGATATAATTTTTTTTATTCTAAATATTGTGTTAATAAATATCCCTCGATGGTTAAAATCACTTATTCATCCAATTAGAATAGGATAATTTATATTCAAGAAGAAACTTAAGATATTTTTAAATGGAGTTTTAATAATGACTCCCTTTCCTTCTACTTAGATGTGGATTGGACTCTTTAAATTGTTGATATCCATTGTGTCCAAAACCACAAAGTAATAATGATCAATAAATATTTCATCAACCAGGAATGGAACTGCACATTATTGATAAGTATCTTACTCCTTGATCAAATTATTGCCAAAATTACTTATATTAATTTTAATCTTGATCTAGATTATTGCATCTTTTGAAAAAATGGGAAGGAATTTTTTTTCCCTTTAAACTTAGAAAGGTGTTAGACAATATACTAAAATATCTATATTTTGATATGCATTGAATTTTGGCAATATTTACATTTCCATTATCAAATAGAGCTTACTTGAGGATCTCATTAACAAAGATTGATATTATGTTATTAAGAAGCCTTCAATTGACTTCTAAATGTCACTATTATAAAAAATATATATAATAAAATCATATTACCCTTTTTAATGATGCTAATAAATAAATATGAGATTAATTTTTCAAGCATTTTTACTGTCTTATTTTGAGTTCATGATGATATTCATTCTTAGTTCATGAATGTATGAACTGAATTTAAAATATCACTAACTCCCACATTATAAATACACTTCTATCTTATATAATAATTTATGAATATGTCTAAATATATTATTATTATTATTTACAAATATTTAAGGTTGCTAAAGCATTTAATCTCTCAATTTTCATTGAGTAGGATAATTTTGTATCCTAATTGGATGGTTGTGTTAGTTGTCCCAAAAGACAACCAATTAAAATTTTAAAGTGGTCCAAGCCACATTGATACATTAAGTGAACTTAACATCAATGGATGCTTAAAGAGGAATAATCAAGAATGTGATTTTTGTCCAATGGAGACTTTATTTATTTTTATTTTTTTTTAGAAGTTGAGGCACAATAAATCTACTTATGTTGAACTTGTGATTGCTTATTTTTTGTTTTAGTTTTTCTTTGTTGTGTTTTATACTCTTCTCCAAAATCATAAAATTGATGAAGATCCTCTACAAACAACATGGAGGAGGAATGAGTGGCATATAATTAATGATAAGAGCAAGTGCTTTTTTAGGCTTACTAATGTAGCTTAAATAATAGGCCGCAAAACTTCTCATAAGTATTTATTTTTAGTTTTTCACTCCACTTCAAATGATAATCTTTTACTCTTTAATTAAAAATAATAATAGATGAGTTGTTTATCTTAAATTTATAATTTAGATGAAAATCATCCAAAGCAATAATCTATAAGATGATGTTTAGTTATAGAATATGCCAACTTAAAGGAAGAAAGAAAAATAGAAAATGGCTTAAACACATTATTATGAGAACAAAACATAAGACATATGGTGACAAAATAGCCATACTCATCCACATGATAGCTTCCAAAAGAACTTCAACATCTAACAACCAGTGATAGCAATGACTAACCCAAAAGAACCTTCATAGCACAATATCAAGCTATTATAAACAGACATACAAGAAAATAATTATAGAGTTGGTAAAAAATGGTATAAATATGATAATATAACCAAAAGAAAAATTAGGTGTAAGTAAAAAAAAAGACAACTCATAAGTGCTTTTTATGTGATTTGGCCCTAATTGACTTATACATAGATACCTAAGCTTCTTATCACTTAGAATTTCACTAGCCTACAATGCTCCTTCATTCTCAATATGATGGAGACATTATTAACACCGCTTCTTACTTTGAAGGGTAAAAGTATCTTAACTTCAATTAGCAATAAGAGCATTCCCTATGCCTCACAAAAAAAATTTAAAATAAAAATTATTATTGATCAAATATGTAGCACACACTATTATAAGGTGTATTTTTAGAAATGAGCAATTTAAAAAAAAATATTTTAAATTGGTGCGTATGAAGCCCAAAATTTAGAAATAAGTATAAGCGAAGAACCAAATTCTGGTTTCATAGAAATCCAAAAAAGAAATTCTAGTTTCTTATAAACCAGAAAACTAAATTCCACTTCCATTTTTTTGTTTCAAATCATCAACTCATCATTTGGATGGAAATTCCATTTTATGAGCAACCAAAAAACGAAACAAAATTTCCATTTTTGCTAGAATTCATGGTTTGGTAGCTTCCTCTTGATTTTAGGATTATGTTCCTTTATTGGTTGCTTGTCTAATGTGCCATTCGGCCTTGTTCTTCTATGGTTCACCTGTCCAGGGCCTTCAATAGTGCTCTTATTTTTTCTTGGTTTGTTCTCACCTTAATGGGGTGCAAATTGATTGATTATCTAGGGAGTGGGATTCAAGTTATCTATTGTCATTTGTCTTATTGGATTATGATTTCATTTGTCTTAGTTTATACGGTTGATTGCTCATTGGCCTTTATGTCAGTTGTTGTATTCTGCTATGTTGTGCTCTTGTGTTTTTCATATATTAGATTTTTCTTTCTATTGTCTTATGGTTTGTTTTGCAGTGTCATGTTGCTACTCCTGGCCTTCATTTGTTGCCACTGGTTGCATTATATGGACTTATGTATATCTGAACTTTTGGCTGCTCCATTTTTTTTTGGGTTTGGCTTCTTGCCTACCTTGCTTTTTTTTTGTTTTTTTATTTATTTTTATTTTATTATTATAATTACGCAAGGATATTTGACTCTTAGGTTTTTTTAATATATTTTAATTGTAGTTCCTCGAGCATAGTGATTTACCTTTAAGGACTTGTAATTATTTTTTAAATTAACACGTGGGCCCAACTTTAAATTTTATCATATATATATATAATAAAACTAAGGTTATTTAATAATAATAATAATAATAATAATAATAAAACTAAAGTTTTTTAAGTTCATTTTGATATTTTAAATCCAAGTAAATTTGGCATTTGGCATCTTCTAATGAGTGAAATAATTTCATTAAACATTTCAATTTTAAAATAATGACCAATACTTCAACATAATCAACCATTTATTACTAATGATAAATAAAAATCTATGCTGCCAAATTATTATCATTGATATTGGTAATTTAGAAATATGCAATACATTAAATTTCATTGCACAACACAAAATTAAATTGCCTTTATTTTTATGTTATATATAAGTAAAATTAAAAATTTCAAGGAGGAAATAGCACGACACTTAATTTCTTAATCAAGGTTAAAAATTTATTACATAAACATAATTAAAATTTAAAATTTTAAAATATGTGTTATATATATGTCTGTTAAATATGAATTGATTAAACAAAGGCAATAATATTTTGCATTTTATTTATTTTTTCATGTTGAATTAAATTCAATATGACATCATTAATCATTCACATATATTTTGGCAGTTTTTATCTCCACTATATTTTGTTCTATTTATGAGTTATTACTATGCTGGTTTGAAGGAGTAAGAATAACAATAAAAGTAGTAATAAGTTGGGGCGGAGCCAGCCTTTCACTTTAGGGTTGGAAAAAATTTCATATAAAAGGACTAATATTAAAAAAATAAAATAAGGATATAATTCAAAGCAAAATTTGTATTTTATTAGAAACTAAAATTGGATGCTAAACAAAAAAAAAAAATGGGATTGTCAAATGCCAAACCTCTGTTTTATGGGCTTTCTCAAGGTTAGAATTCTGATTGCAAGTGATTGGGGGCTTGGAACAAGGCACGGATCGCTAACGATTGCAGGCTCTGGGGAACGACCAAACAAGCTTTGCCGGAACTAGCCTTTCACTTTATGG